CCTGGGACTCGAACGTGAAGTGGGGACCCTATCAGCAGGGGGCTTCCGCTGGAAACTTCTCCCGCCATCCACTCACAGACGAGGCCCCCTCCAGAGGCATCCTCACGATTCAACCCCTCGGGTTGCTCAAGAGCTATGCCTGCAATGGTAGGACGTTGACCGCCTGGGACTCGAACGTGAAGTGCGGGCCCTGTATGCAGGGGGCTCCCGCTGGAGACTTCCCCCGCCGTTCACTCACAGACGAGGCCCCCGCTCACGACATCCTGACGATTCGTCTCCAAGGGGTGCTCAAGTGCTATGCCTGCTACGGTAGGCCGATGACCGCTTGGGGTTCGAAGATGAAGTGCGGGCCCCATGGGCAGGGGGCTCCCGCTGGAGACTCCCCCGCAGATCACTCAAAGATGAGGCCCCTACTGGAGACATCCTCACGAGTAAACTCATAGGGGTGCTCAAATGCTATGCGGGTGAGATGGTGATGATGAGGAGGATGGTGATGATGACGATGGTGGTGATGATGATGATGATGATGATGATGATGATGGTGGTGGTGGTGATTGTGTTTATGATGGTGATAAAATTGATGATGATGATGATGCTGATGATGATGATGATGATGATGATGCTGATGATGATGATGATGCTGATGATGATGATGATGATGATGATGATGATGAGGATGATGATAGCCATGGTGCGGTGGCGAGTGAATGAGTGAAGTGTGGCGAGTGCTGGGTGCGTGAGTGAGTGAGTGAGTGAGTGAGTGAGTGTGATGATGATGATGATGATGATGATGATGATGATGACGACGGTGTGATGGTGACGGCTCTGATGGTGATCATGACGATATCGCGGTGTTGATGATGACGATGACTACGATTATGATGCTGACGACGACGACGATGGTGATGATGATGCTGATGATGACGACGACGACGATGGTGGTGATGGTGATAGTGAGGAGGGGGGGAGGCGAGAACCTGCGCGGGGCGTGCACAGAGAAAGCAAAAAGCCCACCTGGGAGGTGGGGCAAAATGTCGTCCTCCCCACCCCATGTTCCTCCTCGTTCTCCTCCTCCTCCTCCTCCTCCTCCTCCTCCTCCTCCTGTTCCTCCTCCTCCTCCTCGTCGTCCTCCTCCTCCTCCTCCTCGTCGTCGTCCTCCTCGTCGTCGTCGTCCTCCTCCTCCTCCTCCTCCTGTTCCTCCTCGGTCCCCATTCCTCCCAGGATCATGACGTGCACGACCAGGAAGAGAGATAGGAATATCGCCTCCTGCCAAAGGCCCTGCTGGTCGTCCCTCGCTCCCGGCCTGCCGCGTCCCGTTCGCCCCCTCGCCCGCCCTCGTCGCCCCTCGTCCGCCGCCCCCCTTGTGGCACGACCCCGCTCGCCCAGGCCGCCAGCGCGGTCCGCGACGGGCACGAGCCGCGCCGAGAACCTGCGGAGGGAACGAGGAGGAAGGACGAGGAGGAGGGACGCGGACCAGTGCAAAACCCAAGACGCATCGACGATGCTGCAACGGCGAGCCCTCCCCCCGAGCTCCCTTTTCATATAGGCCCTGGGAAGAGAGCAGTCTGAGCATCCTCGAATCGCTCCAGAACACCGCTCCTGGGACTTCAGCGACGCGAATCAACATTCCTGTTGCGACATGGCGTTCCTGAGTCGCACCAGAACAACAGTCCTGGGAGTTCAACACCGCGAATGAGCGTGGCCGTTGCGCCCTGGCAATCCTAGATCGTGCCAGGGCACCATTCCTGGGACCCCAACCATAGGAATCCCTAAAACCGCTGTAGCATGTTAACACGAATGTGCGCGGCGCTAAAGCGAGATCCACAGTATAATAATGAAACGCCCTCCACTTGTGAAACAACTGCAACGTGTTAAGACGAATGCGCACGGCGCTAAAACGAGAGCAACCAGTTGGAACAAAAACGCCCTAAGTTCATGAAACTCTTTGCAAACTGCTAGAACGAATGTGAGTGGCGCTATGGCGAGAGCCACATTGTGAAAAGGTACCACTTTCAATCCGTGAAGCCCTTGCAAACTATAAGACGAATGTGCATCTGAGCATCGTTGCTGCGCAGATCCCAATCTTGCACGATGGCGCTGGCGAACGCATCGCCCTATCAGCAGCGGGCTTCCGCTGGAAACTTCTCCCGCCATCCACTCACAGACGAGGCCCCCTCCAGAGGCATCCTCACGATTCAACCCCTCGGGTTGCTCAAGAGCTATGCCTGCAATGGTAGGACGTTGACCGCCTGGGACTCGAACGTGAAGTGCGGGCCCTGTATGCAGGGGGCTCCCGCTGGAGACGTCCCCCGCCGTTCACTCACAGACGAGGCCCCCGCTCAAGACATCCTGACGATGCGTCTCCAAGGGGTGCTCAAGTGCTATGCCTGCTACGGTAGGCCGATGGCCGCTTGGGGTTCGAAGATGAAGTGCGGGCCCCATGGGCAGGGGGCTCCCGCTGGAGACTTCCCCGCAGATCACTCAAAGATGAGGCCCCTACTGGAGACATCCTCACGAGTAAACTCATAGGGGTGCTCAAATGCTATGCGGGTGAGATGGTGATGATGAGGAGGAGGAGGATGGTGATGATGACGATGGTGGTGATGATGATGATGATGATGATGATGATGATGATGATGATGGTGGTGGTGGTGATTGTGATTATGATGGTGATAAAATTGATGATGATGATGATGCTGCTGATGATGATGATGATAGCCATGGTGCGGTGGCGAGTGAATGAGTGAAGTGTGGCGAGTGTTGGGTGAGTGAGTGAGTGAGTGAGTGAGTGAGTGAGTGAGTGAGTGAGTGAGTGAGTGAGTGAGTGAGTGAGTGAGTGTGATGATGATGATGATGATGATGATGATGATGATGATGATGATGATGATGACGACGGTGTGATGGTGACGGCTCTGATGGTGATCATGACGATATCGCGGTGTTGATGATGACGATGACTACGATTATGATGCTGACGACGACGACGATGGTGATGATGATGCTGATGATGACGACGACGACGATGGTGGTGATGGTGATAGTGAGGAGGGGGGGAGGCGAGAACCTGCGCGGGGCGTGCACAGAGAAAGCAAAAAGCCCACCTGGGAGGTGGGGCAAAATGTCGTCCTCCCCACCCCATGTTCCTCCTCGTTCTCCTCCTCCTCCTCCTCCTCCTCCTCCTCCTCCTCCTGTTCCTCCTCCTCCTCCTCGTCGTCCTCCTCCTCCTCCTCCTCGTCGTCGTCCTCCTCGTCGTCGTCGTCCTCCTCCTCCTCCTCCTCCTGTTCCTCCTCGGTCCCCATTCCTCCCAGGATCATGACGTGCACGACCAGGAAGAGAGATAGGAATATCGCCTCCTGCCAAAGGCCCTGCTGGTCGTCCCTCGCTCCCGGCCTGCCGCGTCCCGTTCGCCCCCTCGCCCGCCCTCGTCGCCCCTCGTCCGCCGCCCCCCTTGTGGCACGACCCCGCTCGCCCAGGCCGCCAGCGCGGTCCGCGACGGGCACGAGCCGCGCCGAGAACCTGCGGAGGGAACGAGGAGGAAGGACGAGGAGGAGGGACGCGGACCAGTGCAAAACCCAAGACGCATCGACGATGCTGCAACGGCGAGCCCTCCCCCCGAGCTCCCTTTTCATATAGGCCCTGGGAAGAGAGCAGTCTGAGCATCCTCGAATCGCTCCAGAACACCGCTCCTGGGACTTCAGCGACGCGAATCAACATTCCTGTTGCGACATGGCGTTCCTGAGTCGCACCAGAACAACAGTCCTGGGAGTTCAACACCGCGAATGAGCGTGGCCGTTGCGCCCTGGCAATCCTAGATCGTGCCAGGGCACCATTCCTGGGACCCCAACCATAGGAATCCCTAAAACCGCTGTAGCATGTTAACACGAATGTGCGCGGCGCTAAAGCGAGATCCACAGTATAATAATGAAACGCCCTCCACTTGTGAAACAACTGCAACGTGTTAAGACGAATGCGCACGGCGCTAAAACGAGAGCAACCAGTTGGAACAAAAACGCCCTAAGTTCATGAAACTCTTTGCAAACTGCTAGAACGAATGTGAGTGGCGCTATGGCGAGAGCCACATTGTGAAAAGGAACCACTTTCAATCCGTGAAGCCCTTGCAAACTATAAGACGAATGTGCATCTGAGCATCGTTGCTGCGCAGATCCCAATCTTGCACGATGGCGCTGGCGAACGCATCGTGCAAGCAAGACGGCGCATCAAGCGCCGCGTCTTCAACTCCAGGGCGGGAAAGCACCAGGAACAACATGAACGGCATCCATGAGACGCTCGTACTCTGCAAGGTCCCTGCTGAGGATGCGGAACAGATGCTCCTGTGCTCATCGTTGAGAGCAGAGCTCGGCAGTATTGACCATAACTCAGCGTGATCGCACACGGGGGGCATGAACCTCTGAAAAGGTTGTCAAGTTCACCTCTGGCCGAAATCAACACCCTGTAATCGCGTTGGGCCCAGTCGCCACCATTTCGAACACAAGATTTGTTGGGCAAGTTCCCAACGGGCACTTGAAATCTGTAATTGCCGCCTCGGCACCTGGCACGCAGGTTCCATGGGCAAGCGAAGGTCGATGAGATCCATGAAATGATCGCGTCTGAAATCCACTTGAAACCCATGCTCATGTTGCATTGCAGTCTTTTTGGCAGCGTCCGTCATGTTGTCAGGGCCTGGATTCATGTCGCACTCTTCGTACTTACCATCGGGAACGTCTGCGTCTGGACCTCCGTCTGCCTCATCTGGACCCGCATGCGCCGAATCATCGGCGGATGCAGGGCTGGTAGGCGCATTTGCGACAGAAAGATGAGGTGGGGCATGAAGAACAAATGGGTCAACGACATCCATTGCCACGTCGACGTCGTCTGGCCGCCTGCGAATATGTCCAACGGTAACCAACCACCGCTCGTAAGCACGTTGCAGCAAGTTGCGCACACCTGCGATCAATCCAAATTGAGACACGCAAGACTCGTTCAGCGCCCAAGAGCTGCGA